GATGTTGTCGGTTGACCCAATGTAGAGAAGATCGTCCACATAGACGATTAATAGGACGTAATCGCCTCCTTTTGTGAGGCGATACATGCCTTGGTCATGCGGGAGTTGTTTGAAGCCGATGCGAATGAGGCGGGCGTGTAGGTACTGCTGCCACAGTCGCGGTGCCTGCTTGATCCCATAGAGTGATTTGAGTAGTTGACACACTCGGTTGGGTTCGCCGTGGGAGCCGTGCGGGAGTTCAACGAAGATTTCTGCATCCACAGGTGCGTAGAGAAATGCGTTCGCAACGTCGATCTGTCGCAATTTCTTTTTCTTCATGGCGGCGACGGCGATGAGGATTCGGAGTGAGGTGTGGCGACTGACCGGAGCGAAGGTTTCGGTGTAATCTCTTCCGTGCTCCTGGTCGAAGCCACGTACGACCCAGCGGGCTTTGAATTTGTCGATGGTGCCATCAGCTTTCGTCTTCACACGGAAGACCCATTTTCCGGTAAGAATGTTTTTATTTTGAGTTACGCCGATGGGAACAATTTTCCAGGTGTTGCGCTCCTCCAGTGCCTTCAGCTCTTTGTCCATAGCTTCACGCCATTTCTCCCTGTGTTCCCCCCCCAGAGCCTGCTGAACCGTCGCAGGCTCCTCAGGAATGCCGGCGCCATGGACTGCGGTGACGAGACCAAGGATTTGCAGCCCAGTCTGTGAGTATCGAGGGAGTTCTGGATCCTCGGGATAAGCTGCTTCGTCTCCCGTTTCTGGGTCGGGCATGAAATTTGGCCCTACCCTTTCTGCTTCGTTGGTGTTGACTGTCACAGGTGTTATGTAACCATCGTCGGCGAAACGGTAGAAGATTTCGGCGTTGTTACTGTCGCGAGGATTATCCTCATCCATGGGCACGTCGACGGAGCAGTATGGGAGAGGTCCGGCTTCTTCTGAGGCGTTGTCGACGTTCTGTTCATCCCAGTCTGCTTCGTCCGCTGCTGACGCGAAGGCTCGGTCACCACGAAAACCACTGGTGAGGTCCCGATTCTCGTGCAAGTTGGCGAGGTATGTCTGAAGGGTGTGTCTTTCGTAGAAGATCACGTCACGTGCTGCTACTGTTTCCTTTGTGTGGACGTCGAAGATTTTCCATGCGTTGTAATTTTTCTCGATGCCGAGGTGTAGTCCCCACTGTGCCCGTTGCGAAAATCTTCCCGCTCGTGCTTCTGGGGGTCTGTACTGTACCATGCACCCGAAAACTCGTAACATTTTCGTGCTGCCCTGCTTCCCTGTCCACAGCAGATGCGGTGATGCGTTGTTCGGGAGTGACGACGACGACAACAAGTTGTGCAGCATGACAGCGTGGTCCATTGCTGCTGGCCACTGGTGGTTGGGTAGCCGCATGCCACGTAACAGTTTGCGCATGCTGTTCTGCAGGGTCCTGTTCAGTCGTTCTGCAACACCTTGCTGCTGATGTGCGTAGGGAAGGGAGAGGAGTTGCTTGATCCCCCTTTCCGCCAAGAACTGCTTGAAGCGCTGAGAGGTGTACTCGCCACCTCCGTCTGACTGGAAATTTTTTCAGTTGTGTTCCAGACTCTCTCTCTGCTATCGGTAGCCAGGCGGCGAATGCTGCGAGCGCCATGTCGCGGCTGGGTAGGTTGCGATGCCAGACGTATCGAGTAGCAGCGTCGATGAAGGTGATGGTGTAGTTGTAGTTGACTTGTCCTGGTTCGCGATTGTAGAGGATGTCGCTGTAGACTTTTTCGAGTGGTGCGTACGCTGGAGCGCTCGGGTTGTGATGTGAAGCAAACGGTCGATGAGGTAAGTCAGCTTCGGGACATATAAGGCAAGTCCCTCGTGCCTTCTGGAGTTCTCTGCCATCGGGTAGAAGTAGAGAGTCTTTGTCGAGGACTCCTGCTCTTATCGTGTTATTCAAAACTGTGTTGCTTGGATGTCCTGTGCGTGCGTGCCAGATCTCTTCAGAGGCGCGGTGTCCGGGTGAACGCTGATATGCGTCGGAGTTGGAGTAAAAGCTGGCGACGAGGTTGGCGCTTCGGTGGACTTCACGCTGAGTCGGATTCAGCTGTTGCGCGAGTGTTGGTGGTGCTTCGTCGACTGTGACTGGTGTCGTTGTTCCTGCTGCTGCTGATGTTGTTGCTGCTGCCGATGTTGTTGTTGCTGTCGATATTGTTGCTGCTGTCGATGTTGTTGTTGCTGCCGATGTTGTTGTCTCTGCTTCTTGTTGAATTGTTGCTAACGCTCTTGTTCGTTCTGCTTCAGGGATAGTGTGGGAGTACCAGAAACCTCCCGGGCTGAAGTCGGGATCGAGATCCGGAGGGTGTGTCCATTCAGCAAAGTTCACAATGGCGTCGCTGTCTGCAGTGCCGAGGTCGGGAGCGAAGTCGAGGACGAAGACGTTGTTCTTCAGCACTGCTTTCCCGATGTAGAGACCGCCTCTTCCGTGGTAAAGCTTGAACTCCTGGGTCGTGCTGTCGGCTTCCAGATGAATTCCTTTCGCCATCAACTGGCTAACGCTCAGTAAGTTGTAGCCGAGTCCTTCAGCGATGAGTACCTTAGACATGTGCAGTATGACATTTGTTTCTCTTGACTGAAGCTGTACCACTCCTTGTCTTCGTGTGCGCAGGTTTTGGTTGTTGGCAACCGTGATGATCACTTCCCGTTGGAGTCGATGTTCGCGTTGTACGAAACGCCCGGACGAGCACATGTGTTGCCCGCAGCAACTGTCCAAGAACCAGGTGTCTTGGCCGGACGGTTCACTTTGAGCGATAGCGGCGTAAGTCGGATTTGGATGGAGTGATTCGCGACGAGGCGTCCTGTTGTCGAGCTCCTCTTCCGGTGAGTAATGGGGTGGTGACTCTGTTATGCAAGAGTCGTTTATCTTGACCATGCAGTTGACTATATGTCTTGCTCCTTGTGCAGGTTGTCCAGTTGAGGTCGTTGAAGCTTGAATCGTGGTTGTCGAACTTGCTTGTGTCGAAGCAACTTGTGTGCTTGAAGGCCGCAGTTGTCGCTGTGGTGTTGTCTGTCGAGACGGGCAGTGCGAGCGTGGGTGTCCTGATGTCTTGCAGATGTGACAAAATGGAGGTACTGACTTCGGCTGCTGCTGTCGATTGTTGTAGTAGTTGTGTCGTCGCTGAGTATGGAAAGCAAACTCCGGTGCTAATGTCCTTTTCTTGTGTCTTTCTTCTTGCAGGTCCATATCCTGCTGTTCCGCGTGAATTTCTGCGCAAAGTGCCGCTTCGGAGATCCTCCCGTGTGCTCGAAGAATTGCTTTGGTGGCGCGCCACTGAGGACCGAGGCCGCCTATGACGACTGTTACGAAGGCGTCTTCAGAGATTGACCCTCCACATCGAAGAAGCTTGTCGCGCAATTCGCGACATCGGCTGATATACGCCAACCCTTTTTCTCCTGGTTTCATTTCCACTGTTGTCAGCTGCGCCATTAACCTGCTCTGGTTTACACTGTCTGTTGCCTGGTACAGGTTCTTCAGATGGCCGTACGCGAGTTCCGCCGAGTTGCCGAAGTTCCGGTAGGAGCGAATGTTCTGCTGCTGGGTTGGTGTGATGTTTCTCAGTAGAATAGTATACGCCATCATGGATTGATACGTATACTGCTGCTTTTCATACTGTGTCCCGTTTGCTGGATACTGCAGGGATCCGTCGAAGAAGCCAAGTATCTGCGCGCCCTCCATCATCAACTCGAATTCAAAGGACCAGGTAAAGAAGTCCTTTCCGTCGAAAGGTCTTGACGTCTGTAGTTTCAGAACATGCGCGAACTGCGACTGTACTTGTAAGGCATCCATTGGTTTGTCTTGCGCAGGTGGAGGTTGAGGCAGGAAGCTGATCGACCCGCGTTCGTACGGGGCGAAGGTGGGTTGCTGTTGTTGATTCCCTCGCGCATATGACGACCCGTCAAGGCTCATGGGTGTCGCTCCGTTGTTGCTGTTGTGTGTCTGTGCAGGTCCCGACTGCTGGTGTTGCTCGTAGAAGGACATGAAGGAGAAAAATTTCTCCATCATGTTCTGGTCGAAGTCAGAAGGATGGTTCGTGGGGGTCTCGGTTGACGTTCCCCTTGGTCTTGCTGCCGTGCCTTCCTCTGTCTGCAGGCCAGAGGCTGGTGGTGGAGTAGGAGTAGTCCCCGAGGAGCCATTAGGGGAGCTCCTTTCCTTGTTTGTTGCCATGTCTTGTAATGATAAAAAAAAGTTAGAGTTTTCCCCTGTCTGCTCTCATACCATGTTGGGCTGAGAAAAATAGCCCTTAGGATCTTTGCAGAGGAGAACTCTTGGGTAGAAAACTTGTAATAGCGGAAGCGTTTGATGAGGATTGTGAACCGACCTTGCACTGGTGTGTGAGAGCAAAGTAGATTGAATTAAACAAGCAAATACAAGGATTTATATAAGAGTACAGGGAATACGAATAGATAGGTAGATAACTGTATTGCTGTTGCGGTTCGATACAGTGCGACTCGGGCAACTGCTCTGTAACGAGTCAGTTGTGTGTCCTTAACTGTCGCGCTGTGATTGTCGAGTCAAAGGTCAGCGACCTTTGACTTTCTCGTAACCTCCAGGCGGTTACCCTAACCTCCGAGGTTGACTCGATGCTTCGATTGGGACTGCTTCGCTTGGTGCCTTGGGTTTTGATACGACAGAAGCGCACTTAGGACTTATTGTTTCCAACACAGGCTACAACATTTGACACAAAGACTTATCATTACACGCTTCCGCATTTACAACAAATCCCAACCAGAGTTTAGCCTTGCAAAGATCCTAAGGGTTTTTTCAGCCCAACAATATCCACCCTTTTTTTTTTTGTACTAAAAATACGTTGGCAACCATGCACGTTCTTTAGGTCGTCTTCCATCCTACCCCCCTCCCTCATCCCTTCCTAACTCATTACCAGCTCCAGCTGACACTCTGCGGTTCAACTGTCGGCTTATGTTCATAGGACAATCGATCTTACAATAGCTGTACATATACATGAACTGGTGCATGCGGCATAAGTGGGAAAGGGTTATTTGCGCCCCCCAGCAATTGCCGCAGCAGCCACAGCGCCAATAACTGCAACAGCGCCAGCAGCAATACCCACTCCAATCACTCCATCTGATTGAGCACAGTGGTGTTTTGGGGAGGGGAGGGGAGGAGAGAGAGGGGGGGGAGGGGGGAGTGAGGGGAAGAGGCAAGAATAAGCGGACTCCAGCCATGGATGCAATAGTGACAGCTCCAATAGCAGTGAACGTTATGGCAGCAATGACCACTCCAATCAGACTGGTATATAAACCTCCAGATTTTGCTGGCAGTAAACTGATGATAAGCTGGACGGAGCTGGAAAGTAAGCTGGAATTGTTTGTTTTGCTTTTGTTTGTTTGTTTGTTTGTTTGTTTGTTTTTTTTTTCGCATGTCTCAGAGGTTGCTTAATCCCTACGCACTTACTCAGGAGGCAACAACGAGAAGGAAGACATGAAAAGGGATTGACAATAAGAGGGACAGCCAGTGATCGAGACATCCGTATCGAGGCTGCAGGTACCTGAGGGTTTTTTGCTTGCTATGCATGAAGATGAGACGATAAAAGCGGCTAACAATGAGTGGGGCGATGAAGTGAGAGCTTGGTTCCGAGGCTGCTCGTACCTGAGGCTATCTTGCTGTCCATGCACTTTCTAAAAGCGAGACAATGCAGGAGGAGCTGACAAAGAGTGGTAAGTAGAAGTATAAGAGCTTGGTTCTGAGGCTGCTCGTACCTGAGGCTATCTTGCTCCATGCACTTCTTGAGGCAGGCACCTTGGTGGGATGAAGGTGAGGTGTGTGTGTGTGTGTGTGTGTGTGTGTGTGTGTGTGTGTGTGTGTGTGTGTGTGTGTGTGTGTGTGTGATGCTACCAGGCACGAGCTCGTACCTGAGGCTATCTTGCTCTCTATGCACTTCTTGAGGCAGGCACCTTGGTGGGATGAAGGTGACAGCTGGCCACAATAGCAAGGTAGACAACGATAGGGAAGAAGGTAAAAGCGGGAGTATTTCACTCAAGTTGGATTCTTTTAAGGCTAGCTTGCATTCGCCGCACTTCTTGATTCTGCATTGTGCAATCGAGGGCGAAAGCTGAAAACAAGGGGAAAGTGGATAACGAGGGGATTGAGCAAAGAAATGGCAGAGCTTCGAGGTGCATAAATGGGTAACAGAGAGTGATGTTTGTGCAGAATGGCAATAAAGAGATGCGATCGCTGCACATATGCACTCACGCACACATGTATCCCTCCCCCCCCCCACCTTCCCGGTTTCCGTAACACATTGTTAACATCACATACCTCGATACTGTCACACCTCATTACTGTCACATCCTATGTTCCACCTTCTTAAGCACATTCTCCACCAATTCCCAGCTTGCTGCAGTTGCCTGGCTTGCTGCAGTTGCCTGGCTTGCTGCAGTTGCCTGGCTTGCTGCAGTTGCCTGGCTTGCTGCAGTTGCCTGGCTTGCTCCAGTTGCCTGGCTTGCTGCAGTTGCCTGGCTTGCTGCAGTTGCCTGGCTTGCTGCAGTTGCCTGGCTTGCTGCAGTTGCCTGGCTTGCTGCAGTTGCCTGGCTTGCTGCAGTTGCCTGGCTTGATCCAGTTGCCTGGCTTGCTGCAGTTGCCTGGCTTGCTGCAGTTGCCTGGCTTGCTGCAGTTGCCTGGCTTGCTCCAGTTGCCTGGCTTGCTGCAGTTGCCTGGCTTGCTCCAGTTGCCTGGCTTGCTGCAGTTGCCTGGCTCGCAGCAGATCGCCTGGCTTGCAGCAGATCGCCTGGCTCGCAGCAGTTGCCTGGCTTGCTGCAGTTGCCTGGCTTGCTGCAGTTGCCTGGCTTGCTGCAGTTGCCTGGCTTGCTGCAGTTGCCTGGCTTGCTGCAGTTGCCTGGCTTGCTGCAGTTGCCTGGCTTGCTGCAGTTGCCTGGCTTGCTGCAGTTGCCTGGCTCGCAGCAGATCGCCTGGCTCGCAGCAGATCGCCTGGCTCGCAGCAGATCGCCTGGCTCGCAGCAGATCGCCTGGCTCGCAGCAGATCGCCTGGCTCGCAGCAGATCGCCTGGCTTGCAGCAGATCGCCTGGCTCGCAGCAGATCGCCTGGCTCGCAGCAGATCGCCTGCCCAGTAGCGCCTCACTGCATTGGGATATCCCATCCAGCCAGTCTCCATCACACACCTCGCTACTATCACACCCCCTGCTATCACCCAATCACTATCACACTCTCCTTTTCTCACCTTGAGCGCCTCTTCCACGAGTTGCCTGGCTTGCTGCAGATCGCCAGCGCGATAGCACCCCACAGCCTTGAGGTAAAGCACCTCGTGCCTGTCCTTGGTATTTGTCACTCCCCTCTGCTGCTCTGCTTGTTAGAAAAGTAGAAGGGAACAGAGCAAAGGGAGAGACAAGTTATTATCTCACACCATTCACCCAACAGCTAGGGGTAAAGCACCTCGTGCTTTGTCATTGGCACCTGTCGCTCCCCTCTGCTGCTCTGTTCGATACAAGGTGGGGAAAAGGGGAGTGAAGGGAAGGGGACGGCGGAGACTACTTGATGACTTGGTGACAAGGTAGGTAGCACGCCATCCCCTGTCCGGTAGCATGCCATCCTCTGTCCGGTAGCACGCCATCCTCTGTCCGGTAGCACGCCATCCTCTGTCCGGTAGCACCCCATCCTCTGTCCGGTAGCACCCCATCCTCTGTCCGGTAGCACCCCATCCTCTGTCCGGTAGCACCCCATCCTCTGTCCGGTAGCACCCCATCCTCTGTCCGGTAGCACGTCATCCCCTGTCCGGTAGCACCCCATCCTCTGTCCGGTAGCACCCCATCCTCTGTCCGGTAGCACCCCATCCTCTGTCCGGTAGCACGCCATCCTCTGTCCGGTAGCACCCCATCCTCTGTCCGGTAGCATCTCACAGCCTTGAGGTAAAGCACCTCGTGCCTGTCATTGGCGCCTGTCACTCCCCTCTGCTGCTCTGCTTGGCACAAGGTGGGGAAAATGGAACGAGATGAAAGCGACAACTGAAATCAGTTGACAAGGTAGCACCCCACCGCCTTGAGGTAGAGCACCTCGTGTCTGTCCTTGGTGTTTGTCACAACCCTCAGCTGCTCTGCTCGTGACACAAGGGTGGGGAAGACGGAAGCAATGCGAAAAAATGTCGCCACGAATGACACAACCCAGTAGCACCCCACTGCGTTGAGGTGAAGCACCTCGTGCCTGTCCTTTGCACCCGTCACTCCCCTCTGCTGCTCTGCTCGTTAAAAGGTGAAGAAGATTGGATTGAAGCAAAGAGGAGAGTGAGCATTATTATTCCACCACCACCATAGACCCCACCCTACTGCCTTGAGTTAAAGCACCTCATGCCTCGAAGAAACGCACTCAAAAGAGATTCTCTCCCCCACGCACTAAAAAAATACTCTCTTCCACCCACCCACAAAACCCCCTTCCACTCACCATCCAGCATGGCAATCCCGCGCACCACGTCCGCCTCTCTCCTCGAATGCACCAACACCCACCTTCCAGTTTTCTCACATAATAATCTTAGTGGGAATATACGCTCAGAACCTAAAGCGTATAGCGTATATACGCTTGCGTTCATACGCAAAACGCTATACGCTAGCTAATACGCTATACGCTTTCAGATTTATTTAGGGGCTGCCCGGGAAAAAAATTCATGTGTATACGGAAAGATGCGGAATCTCCTGGTGAGCATTTCGCGGAAGTCGAGGTGCAATTCAGGGTTGTAGGGAAGCGGGAATGTGCCTTACAATTGCATCTGGCAGTTCAGATCTACAATTTTGTTTAGTACCGCATTGAAATCCATCCCATCTACGAACTCCAACCTGTCAAAAACCTCCCCCCAACAAACCCCACTCACGCTACTAACCAGCCAGCCCAACTGCACTTGACATTTCCCGCTTCCCAACAGAGCTCATCCCGATTCCTACTTTTCCTTCTAGCGATAGTGTCTACTACACATCCCACCCTAATCGAAGTTCAGACTTAGGAGAATGCTACGAAATTCTTAGTGAGAATATGGAATACCTTCCCGATGTTGAGCACGACATTGTTTTTCACCCTGCCCGGGATTTTTTTTCCTGCCCGAAAAAGCGGATTCCCAAAGCCGACCCTTCAGCGTTTAGCGTATATACGTTAGCGTATATACGATAAGCATATATACGCTATACGCGTATATTCCCACTAAGATAATAATCTCCCCACACGCATCCCCATCCATAACTATGATGGATTTGACTCCAAAAACTGAAAATGTCCAGGGTAAAAAACGCCACGTTTTTACCCTTGACGCGTCAATCCGTTTTGACGCTTGACTCTACTGGTATTTTTTTTCGGGCAGCCTGATAAAAAAAAAGCGAAATCGAAATTCCCCGCTCAAAACGCGACCCGCCAAATTGAACTCGACATTTTGAGGTCCCAAAACAGGCCCCAACCAACACCCAAACCACCCTCCACCCCTATGAAACTCCTCAACCCAACCCTTCCCCAAGTAATTCACCACAAGCCTCCTTTGGAAACCCCATTCATGACTGCCCCATGTGTCCTACAACTCCAGCCCCACCACCCCCCCCAACCTTTCTTACTAACCCCCTGTTCCCAGTTTTTTTTACCCCTGCCCGGGATTGTTTTTTGCCTGCCCGCCAGAGCGTCAAACTGGGGGTGCCCCTTGGACAGGGGGCGTCAATAGCGTCAAAACGCTGAGCGCGTCAAATCCATCATAGATCCATAAGCCCACTCACCCCCCTCCCACTCACCATCCAGCATCGCAATCCCTCGCACCACGTCAGCCTCTCTCCTTGAGTGCACCAGCGCCCACTCCTGAGATTTTTCAAGAACACACATTCCCTACGAGCACCCCCGCAAGCATCCTCGAGTGTAGCTTTACGGCGTCTCAACACTCACCATCCAGCATGGCAATCCCCCGCACCACGTCCGCCTCTCTCCTCGAATGCACCAGCGCCCACGCCAGCTTCATCAGATTGTCCCTCGCTGCTGCTGTCTGCCCTGGATCGAGCATGTCCCTCTCACACGCCTGGCACAAGGAGGTGGGGGAAGGGACGACGGGGGAGGGGAAGATGGGCTCTTTTAAGAGATGAATGCACCAGCGCCCAATCCCTTCATCTGGTTGTCCTTCGCTGCTGCTGTCTGCCCTGGATCGAGCATGTCCCTCTCACACGCCTGGCACAAGGAAGCCGGGTTGGGTTGGGGGGGAAAGGGGGGAGAAGCGGACGGGGAGATGGGCTTAGCTAAGAGCGAGTGTACCAGCCCCCACGCCAGCGTCATCAGGTTGTCACTCGCTGCTGCTGCCTGCCCTGGATCCAGCATGTCCCTCTCACACGCCTGGCATGGTACAGAAAGAAGCACAAATAAAAAGGAAGTCGTTAACAAGCCCACACGCTAGCTTCATCAGGCTTTCCCTCGCTGCTGTCTGCCCTGGATCCAGCATGTCCCTCTCACACGCCGGGCAGCAAGCAGGGGAGGGGGAATCGGCTTTGTTAAGAAAGAGTGAACAAGCACACCACACCCCAGCTTCCTCAGGCTGCCCTCCACCGCTGACTGCAGGCCCGGGTCAAGCATGTCCCTCTCATACGCCGGGCACAAGGAAGGGGAGGGGGAATCGGCTTTGTTAAGAAAGAGTGAACAAGCGCACCCTACCCCAGCTTCCTCAGGCTGCCCTCCACCGCTGACTGCAGGCCCGGGTCAAGCATGTCCCTCTCATACGCCGGGCACAAGGAAGGGGAGGGGGAATCGGCTTTGTTAAGAAAGAGTGAACAAGCGCACCACACCCCAGCTTCCTCAGGCTGCCCTCCACCGCTGACTGCTGGCCCGGGTCAAGCATGTCCCTCTCATACGCCTAGTGGTAAGGAGGAGAGGCGAAGGGAGAGCACAATAGAATAGAGCTGGGTTTTATCTCGCTGTTGCTTGTTGCCCAGGGTCGCGGGGATGGCTGCAGACGCCTGAACAGTTGTGCTCACCTGAATGATTATCTTGTCCGTCTTTGGCAGGAATGTTAAAGTGGACTCAGTAATCATCTAATGACCTGAATGGTTGTGCTAACCCGAATGGTTGTGCTGACCCGAATGGTTGTGCTAACCCGAATGGTTGTGCTAACCCGAATGGTTGAGCTAACCCGAATGGTTGTGCTGACCCGAATGGTTGTGCTAACCATTATAAACTCTGTGCTGTTATAAGATGTCACGGGAACGGCTGTACATGGTGGAACGCTTGTACTGACCTGAATAGTTTTCTCGTCCGTCCATGGAAGAGTGTCTGCAGGCGAGAAGAAAGACGTGACGTCATTCCACATCGTCTGGATGTTCTCCATCTCGGGGCTGCTGATAACGGGGATGTGAGAGGGATGGGAGGGATCTGGGTGGCATAAGAGCGAGGTGTCTGCAGGGGTGAAAGGGGACCGCACATCGCTCTTCAAAGACTGGAGGTTACGCTCGAATCAGTCCTGAGAATTCCAAAAAGTGGAGGATATGTGATAGGAGACTTGAGCAGCAATACTAGAACCGCATGCTCTTTTAGCCCGCCGTTAGTGGTTCTTCTTATCCCTTCTTCACGCGCTTCGGTACTTTCCTTTTCCTCACCCTGAACTCAAGACAGTAAATGTCACGCTGTCCCAAGCCCGTCCTCGATGAGACGTACCTCAAGAACTTACAAAAGTGTCGCCACTCAGACACTCGCGAGCTTATGTGACGGACAGCCGGAAGAATGAAATGGATTCGAAGGAAAAAAGTACTGCTTCTAAGGCTCCAAAGGAGAAACTAAATTCGAAGTAGCGCTACGCAAGGATCGCACAAAGCTTTAAACGGAATTGACGTTACAATGGATGTTTGAATCGGACAGCTTCAGGCTACGTATGTTCAGCTTTCTATTTCGAAAAACTCAGAAATCGCCGGATCTCAAATACGTGTTGGGAAAGGCTTCCTCTCAACTCTCAAGGAGCCTCGAATTGGGACCACTAGAGCAAAGTCTAAGGGCGGGTCAAACTTTGCACGTTTTCGCAGAAAACCCTACCCAACCATCTCGTGTTTAAAAACGACCGTTCTGGATCAAGCCTTAACCTTTTTGAACCGCAATCGGACGTACTCTTTTGACCCGCCCTAACCAATAGGATTTGGCTGACGGGAGCTATTCCCAAGACACAAAATAGAGAGCAAAAGTGACCTAGAAGTTTGCCGTCGAGCGTGACGGGACACGAGGGAGAAAGAAGGAACAGAGATGGGTTGAGTTGCGTGCCGCAGCGGGAAAATAGAGAGGGGCAAGGAAGGACACCAGACAATTCTGTTCCGTTATTGTGAAACTTGAAAACAACACAAAGATGAAAACCGAATGAGTGTTTGGTGATACAAATGGCTATGTATGATGGAAATTCAGCTTGCTCCCACGTGGCACCGAAAGCTTTCCACGATCCACGTCGACTTCTCCAGAAGCAGCTCCGCTAACACGTACATGCATCTGGTTCAACTTGCACCAGCCACCAGGTGAACGAATCCAGGACTCAGGCAACGAGGTCGGTTTGATGCGTTGCTTTGCGTAACAGAGCAATATGAGGTAGATCCAAAACGGTTAAGCGCCTGAATATTCCCCGACTTGTCCCCTCATATGATTCTTTCTCACAAGAGCACCCAGGAATTCGGCAAACACTTGCTCCATAGCCATTTTCCTTGCGAAAAGTCCACCATGGCTGCCACTGTCGCCCGCACCGTCGGTTCCCTGCGACTCGCTGCGAATTCTCTACGCACGAGCTTCCTGCGATCCTCTACCTGCCGCACGACGTCTGTCGTACGCGTCGCTGTAGCGCCATGCCGGGCGATCAGTCACAGCCAATCAGCGAAGCCGCGGTCACGAGGAATCCACTCTGCAGCCAATCAAGGCCGACCATCCACGCGGCTCCGCGCATTTGAGGTCTCCGGACCTGGCGCCGTGAACTCCGCAACGGCCACCGCCATGCGAGAAAAGGTAAGTGCGGCAAAACCGGAAAGCCATGGCTGGTTCGGATAGGTTCTGATGTGATCCACTTTCGACACAATGAGAAGGCGGCGGTTACTATACGGAAGGAAAACGCCAGTGACGGCTTCCAAATTTCTCTTCTTTGATTCAGGCTGCCTTTCTAATCCGTTTGTGAGACGTCTCTGATGCTTACACGCACTTTCAACGCGTTGACTCTGGCGGTTTTGTTCTTTCACTCGATGACAGAATCCATGAATTCCCCCAATCCGATGAGTACCGAATTTTTTTCTTATTTCATCCATGGACTATCCATGCATAATCACCGTTATCCCGTTCTGCTGTGGGGATCACGCACGCATTACGGCTTCATACCTGCCAGCACACGATCGTGCGTGCGATCACACATGCTCTCGGCACTTCAGCATGCCGCTGCCGCTGTGCTGCGTAGCGAGAAACGCACGTCTCATAAGCGCGTCCTTCATTTCCTGCCTCCCACCCGCTTCTTCCCCATGGTGGCAGATTGCCCTAGCTCTGGAGGTTGACAGTGTGACCGCTGGTATCGACGTCCCTCAATTTCCTGCTTCCCACCCTCTTCCTCCCACTACGGCAGATCGCCGCTGTCAGTGAGAAAGGCACGTCCCATAGGAATGTCCCTCGTTCCCTCGCCCTAGCTCTGGTCTGGAGGCTGACAACGAGAAAGGCACGTCCCATGGGCATGTCCCTCGTTCCCTTCTTCCCACCCTCTTCTTCCCATGGCTACAGATCGCCCTAGCTCTGCTCTGGAGGCTGACAACGAGAGAGGCACGTCCCATGGGCATGTCCCTCGTTCCCTGCCTCCCACCGCCTTCCTCCCGCTATGGCAGATCGCCCTAGCTCTGGAGGCTGACAATGTTACCGTTGGTAACGAGAGAGGCACATCTCAAGGGCATGTCCCTCTTCCCCTGCCTCCCACCCTCCTCCTCCCAATATGGCAGATCGCCCTAGCTCTGGAGGCTGACAATGTGACTGTTGTGGATGTCAACGGCGACGGTCAGCACGTTAGGTAAATTGCTGTCTGTTTGTGGGTCCTTTGAGAGTCCATCATTCAACACAGTGGCGCCGATGTCAAATTTCCCTTACCCCACTCCCTCACCCCCCACCCCCACCCTCCCCCTCCCCTCCCCCCTCCCCCCCCCCCTCATTCCCTTCATTGCTTCCCCCTTTCCACCTTTCCTGGAACATTCATTGTTTCATTATCCCTCATTCCCTTCACCCACTGCACACCAAATCCCCGTAGTCAGGAGTTCCCCGCAACCTCATGGCCAGGTCCTCTGGTAGCATTGTGCTTTTTTGCCCCTGTAATGAGAGTGGCATAATGGTTTTACCTTGAGAGTCAATTGCACAAGCTGCTGTCGTGGTCTTCCCTGAGTCATTCCCCGCACTTCAGTCGTGATCCTATCTTCAATCCTTGTACTCTCCCACAGCCCGTATGATACTCCTAAAGGTCAGTATATTAAACCGTTTCCTTTTGGCACTTGACCTTGTTTCGTGATTTTGCTGGCAGCATTGAGGTGGTGTCGAAGCTGTTTGAGGGGAAGCGCAGCTTGGACAGGCAGCGCATGGTGTATCGGGCAATCTGGGAGGAGCTTCAAGGCGCAGTGCACGCCGTTGACTCTCTCGTTACAAAAACGCCTTCGGAAGTGTAGCTCTAGTTTGGTCCTGCCATAGTAGTACCTCCTCCAGATGATTTTCTTAATTTAAGTACATACAAGCTCGATTATTGTTTCTTTACTGTATTATTGTTTTAAATAACCTTAACCACAGTAACGGGGATATTGGCTCGCGCATGGCTGGGAGCTCTGGGCCGAACGCGTTTGTAGGCTTGCTTTGGATGTTTCGTTTGGGGCGTCCCGGGCTGAGGCTTGGACTTCCAGTGCCACCATCAGTTCAAGCTGTGACGGGATCAATTGCCTCGCGGCCACGGAAGCCTCCTACAGTGCACTGAAAATGTTATATTTGTACAGAAATACAGCATCTGTAATTACATTTGCTTGCACTTGCTGCATTCGCGGCAATGGAATGCTCGTGATTTCCCGCCTGCCATTTTCAGCGTAGGGCATCGACACGTGAGTGCTCCTGGTCAGGTCTGGAAAAAGGTCTTCTGTCACATCCCAACCGAACGAAGCTGTTTCTTGTCCGGTTTGAGAAATTGCACCGGACTAAAACATTCACTAAAATACCCGAAACCTTGAAGACCGAACCTTGGCTGATGTTTAATCGGCTCGGCACACTCGAACCAAACAAGGTCAGCGCCGCGCCCTTCTCTGGGTCGCACCTCAAGTAACGGCCACGCATGTGCCATTTGTCCAGCCCATGAAAGGAAGTGCCGAGGGTGCACCATGTCATCTGTATTTCATGCACTGGGTCATCGTGCTCCTTGATGAATGCGATCCTTTCGCTTCAGTTCACGAACTCCTGCGACCGTCGTGTTCGCCTTTGCTGTGCTGTGTCGGGAGAAAGTGCCGTTCGTAACTCAGCTATATACCTTCACGAAGTCAAATAATCTAGATTCTTGCCAGACCCAGACCCTACATTTCCTTGGATTCCCTACATTTCCGCAAAGCGGCTCATCGTTCCCCTCTGCTCCTTCAGCAGTCTTCTCTTCACAGCCACCCATTCCCTTTTCCGCGTATCGCATACTAACGTTCGAGGAAGGTGCACTCATAGCTTCCCGAAGCTGACGTATATGGCAATCTCGCCTCCTATAGTTACTGCGCTAGTTTTTTCCGATCCCCGCACGTTATACTTTGCCACCAGAGCTTTGAAGGGGCTCTACTAGTTTCTTGTTATTGTTCCGATCAGTTGTGCTTGCACTTATTCGGTTTGTCATCTCACCGAACCGCACATTCGCATCGACTTGGCACATACCAGGGTTGGCTATTATGTAGATAGAGCATCCGCACAGGAGTATACATAGTGTGTGTCGAGGTCCCGTAGCATCAAATAGCATCAGAATGGGATGGATGTCAAGCAGATTGGCGTGCGCGCACACGCGGCTCAGCCGCCATTCTCGCCTTACCGAAGACCAAACACCAACCAGCACCCGCAGGTATGGAACCGGCCCTTGCGGCGCCTCAACTCCCCCTCCCCGCGCCCTCCCATCCCTTCTCCCCCGTATGGGACCCCTTCTTTCTAGCGTGGTAAATAACCACAAGATCGAACCAATGTTAGTAGTTCTGCGCAAGTCCAAGAAAGGCTTCAGCAAGGTTTGATTCGTCTGATGCCCTTATACCACTGATTCTTCAACATCCTCCCTCCTGTTACCGCGTGCCGTTCATTCTCCCCTTTTCGCACCTTTTCCGCCTTCCCCGCCTTTCGTCTTCCAACCACCCTTCGTCCCCCTTTCCCTCCTTCGTCCCCTAACCTCCCGTCTTCCCTTAGCGCCTCCTCTTCTTCCTTTCACCCTCACCCTCCCTTTCTTTACGCCCGTTCTTTCCCTGCGGCGGCTTCCCTGACTCTCACAGCAACCCCCCGGCTGACAATCAACGGCCAAGATTACTCCAACGGTGCCGTGATCAATTCAGCCGTGTCGCCCGCCAATGTTGGCCGGCGGACGCTACCGGCTGGTCTCCCGCCGAGCCCCGGCGTTGCTGGGTACTTGACGGCGGCACGTTAACTCCTGATTCGGAAAACGACTGTGATTCCGGCGGCGGTGGCGCTGCGGGAAGCAACCGCGAAGCTGATGCGTCCGCTGCGGGTGGCTCTGGTGTTTCTGGTGCTGCTGGTGATGGCGATGATAGCGCTGGCGGTGGTGCCGCCTCTTCGTCGCGCAAGCAGCATCGGCGATCGCACAGTAAATCGTTCAAGTCTGTCGATTGGTCGCTAACGCCCTGTAACTCTGTCGCCGACTTCGCCGACCTGAAAATGGTCGGGCGAGGGCGGTGGGCGACCGTTTACGCCGCGACGCACTGCAGGACCGGCCGGCGGGTCGTGCTGAAAATTTATTCTGCCCGTCATCAGACGGCTGCGATGCAGAAGCAGGTCGAGCGGGAGATCTGGTGTATGCGCCAGACGCGCGGCCACAAGCACGCGATCGGCTTTCTCGGAAGCTTCGTCGACGATGCGAGCAGGATTGAGAGCGCGATTGACGCGAACAGCAGGGGAGGCGGGAAGGGGAAGAACCGGTTAGGTCACGGCGGAATTTTCCGCAAGAGTGGCGGGAAGAGCGGGAGGAAAAGCGCGGGAAAAAGCGGGAGGAAAAGTGGGGGGAAAAGCGGGGAGAAGAGTGGGGGAAAGAGCGGCGATGGGCGGGGGAGTGTGGGTGGGGGGAGTCGGGGGAAGCGGAGGCGGAAGCAGACGGTTATCGTGGAGGAATTCGCGGCGGGCGGGGACGTTTACCAGAGGCTTATGAACGAGTTTTGCGGGCAGATGCCGGAGGCGATAGTCGTTCGCGAAATCATGTCGCCGCTGTTACAGATCCTGCGATTTCTGCACGCGAACGCGATCATCCATCGCGACGTGAAACCCGAGAACATTTTGTTCGCCGCGGACGGGCAACTGAAACTCGCGGATTTCGGCCTCGCGATCTGCACGATGCGCGATTTGCCCGGCGCGCGCGTCGGCACGCTTGATTACATGGCGCCCGAGCTGCTTCAGTCTATTTCTTCCGCTTCCGCTTCCGCTTCCGCGACTGCTTCTGCGACTGCTTCCGCGGATGGCGCTAGCGCGGGCGCCGGTAGTGGTGCGCGCGGCAGTTCTGCGGAACCCGCGGAGAGTCAGAGTTTCGCGCAAGGGTCGAAGCTGCTGAGGCAGAAATCGAAAAAGCTCTCGATCTCGCGACAGTCTAGTGGAAGGAACTGGAATTTCGGCGTGGGGAAATCGCACGGGGGAAAGGGGGAAGCGGACGGGAGAATAGGGGGCGATGGGGGCGGGGGTGGGGTTGGGGACGGGGGGGGCGATTCGCGACGCGAGCACGCCACTCCGTGCATGCCTCTTGGAATGGATCGGCCAATCATCTGTCAGGAAGAGGCCTACCGAATCGCGTTGCCTTACGATGAAAAGGTTGACGTTTGGGCATGCGGGATTTTGGCGTACGAATTGCAGATGGGACGCCCGCCGTTTGAAGTGCCGGGCAGGCAAGCGACCTGCAAAAACATTTTGACCTGCCCGCTGGACACCCTGCCCGGATTCAAACCAACAGTTTCAGCAGGAAAGGAAAAGCTTCACGGGAAACCCTTGCTGTCTCCCCTTTGCATCTCGTTCTTAAAACGAGCGCTGGACCGAGATCGCCAAACGCGTGCTTCTATCCGGGAATTGCTGCAACACCCATGGATCCTTTCTTTCGCCCAATCACCATCCTCCACGTCAGCATCAGCCACACCCTCCCCTCCCAGCAACACCACCACTACCACCACCACCACCTCCTCCTCTTCCTCCTCCTCCTCCTTCCCGTTCCCCTCTTCCTCCTCTGCTCCCTCCTCTCACTCCTCCCTCTCCTCCCCCACCTCCATCCTCGTCCCCTCCTTACCCTCCTCCTCCTCCCAGTCTTCGCTACAATCACACCCTCCTAGTGTCAACTCATTTGCCCCCTTCGGCCCCGCTTCTCCCAAAATGTTTCTTTCTGACCGGCCATGGGTAAGATTTGCACCGCCCCCTCTGAGAGGGGTGGAGGTATCCCAGTCACCCCGCAGTCGCAGCGAAGCATCATCGGGCTTTAATGAAAAGGAGGGGACCGGAATAGGTGCGTCTGAGAGTGCAAGCCTGCAGCAGCACATACAGCAGCAGCAGAAAGGGCATCCATGCCCACAGCAGCAGTATGCCACACAAGCAGGCACTGCAATGGTGGGTGGTGGACGAGGGGGAGGAAGAAGCGATGGGTCTCTGACTAAGCAGCCCTCCTGGATTCCACGAAGTTCTGGTTCGATTCAGCAGCATCAGCTGAAACTGCAGCTCATTTCCTGGGTAAACTCCTTTTTCATTTCTTCCACCACTAATACCACCCCTAACACCTCTTCCTCCTCCTCTGCCTGCCCACCCAACTGCGCCCGCCATTTCGCTTGCGTGCAAGCTGCTCGAAACCGCAGGAGCAGCAACGGTTACAGCACCAGCACCATCCATTCCAGCAGCCTTATGTGCACCAGCCCATTTTTTACCCGCAACCCCACCAGGCGTTTCAGCAGCAGCACCAGTGCTAGTACCGGTGCTGCTACTAACGGATTTTCTTTCTTCACTAGTGGGGGAGGTGTATCAATAGGCGCCATCAGCATTCTTGCCCTCTTTATAGCGCTCCTCGGTATTCTGCTGCAGGTTGTGGCTCTCTCTGTTCCCCGCTGGCCCATGGTTGTTACACAGGTGTTAGGCGGGCCACTAATAATCGAGACCACCCCCCATATAGTCACACCAGATACTGTGCTTAGCGGTAGTGGCTTTGGCGGCGGCAGCACCACTGGCAGCAAGAGTTGTAACGGTGGCAGCAGCAGCAGCGGCAGCAGTAGTAGCGGCAGCAGCGGCAGCAGTAGCAGCGGCAGCAGCAGCGGTGGTGGCAGTGGCGGCGACTGCAGCGAGATTGGCCGTGCTGATGGTGGCGATGGTGTCGAATCTGGTAACGCGGTTACCAAACTGTCAGCAGAAGTAGCCAAAGATCTAGGAGTGTTTGCCAGTGCAGCCAGCGATGCTACAGTACTGATCAGTTGAGAGACCGGGCGCTCCAACAATATCTTGCACGTGATTTTCGCTCTTAGAAGCAGTTTCACTATGATTGTTGGCCAGCTAGCAATGCCGAATCAGTAGGCATTAGGGTCTCTGACAGTACCCTGCCTAGCACCTAACAAGAAATCTGAGTCCGATGTGTAATGTAACAAGGTAACCACCACCTTGAGAAAGGCAAAGTGTAGCAAACAGTAGGACAACTTTCAAGTTTATTACAGATAGAATTAAAGCCAGTGAATGGTAGCTCATTACAGCTTGTCTACATTGCATTCTCCAATGGTGGTGGTTGGGTGATAGAGGTGAGGTGAGTAGATGGGTAGGCTTCTAGGGCAGTCTAACCCAGTAGTTCAAGTGCTGCTCTTCTTGGGCCAAGCCAAAGCATGACATTCCATCACAATCTCGTCGTTCCTATGGTACCTACCGTTATTTGAGACGTCTCAAAACCGTTACTGTACAAGCCCATCAAACTGCACACAATGCTTCTTCTCAGGCTTGCACGTGTCGCCACTTTTTGAGGTTCTAATTACCATAACAATTTTCTTGCTCAGCTTTACACAATAGTCAAGAAGCCATTCTTCAGAGGTGCTGCTTGAGCCAGGAAGCCACGGTGATCCATTGCTCAAACTCACTCTGGGGCCTGAGTGTGTGGGAAACAGGACGGGGAGGAGGAGGGGGAAGGGCGGAGAAGGCACCCTCAAGTTAGCCTTATTTCAGAGTGCTGCTTCAGCCACGAAGCCAGTGAGCCATTGCTCAAACTCGCTCTGGGGCCTGTGTTGGGGGGGAGGGGGAAGGAGGGTGGGGAAAGCTGCTGCTTCTCGAGATGCCTACACAACAGTCAAAGAAGCCATTCTTTGGCAGTGCTGCTTGAGCCATGATGCCACACGGTGAGCCATGATGCCACAGGTGGGACAAGGTGTTGCTTCAGCCACATGGTGATTCTTGTAACACCTGTCTGTCATGTCAATTTTCCATCACTTATCCATGGCTCATCTCACTTATCCATGGCCCATCTAACTTGTCAAACGCTCACTAGTCGCTTATCAAACACCCAACTCGCCCCTACCAAACGCCAATCGCTCACTTGCCAGTGGCCCCTCACTCACCAATCAACCACATGTCCCTCACTCAATTATCACTGGCCCATCACTCACGCATCACTCGCCCATCACTCACTTATCAACTGCCCATCACTCACTTATCAATGGCCCATCACTCACTTATCAATGCCCCATCACTCACTTACCAATGGCCCATCACCCACTTATCACTAGCCCATCACTCACTTATCAGCCACCCATCACTCACTTATCAATGGCGTGAACATCTTCGGGCATCATGAGCACTCTAGCTTCCAGCCCTTGCGCCCGCAGCGCATGCACCAGCTGTAGCGCGGACAGGAGGGAGCGGAGGAAACGGAAACGGGAACGGGGAAAGGGAGATAGTATTAAAGCCAACTCACAAGTCACTCTAGCCTCCAGCCCTTGCGCACACAGCACATGCACCAGCTGTAGTTCACACAAGTGAAGAGAAGGGGAGGGAGAGAAGAGGGAAGGGACAGGGGTAAGGGTTTGGGCAGGCAAGACCTTGAACACTCGAGCCTCCAGCCTTTGCGCCCGCAGCGCATGCACCAACCGTGGCAGAGAGGGAGGAGGCGAGGAGGGGAGGAGAGGAGGAGGGGGGAAGGGGGGAGGAGGGGAGGAGGAGAGGAGGGGAGGAGGAGAGGAGGGGAGGAGGGGAGGAGGGGAGGGGGGGAGGGGAGGAGAGGAGGAGAGGAAAGTAGCAGGCGAGAAGGAAGGTGACTTCTAAGGTTGACTCAGAGGTCACACGACCCTCCGGAGGGGTGGGACAGACAAGAGATGTGAAGAAGTCTCGAGCTTCCAGCCGTTGCTTGCAGCACATGCACCAAGTTGATTTTTCGAGCACATGTGATATGGCAACTCGAAGCACATGCACCAAATCACACAGCTGCATGAACCCTGTTTTCGAGTCGACTCGAAACTGTTTTTTCGAGTCGACTCGAAACTGTTTTTTGAGTCGACTCGAAACTGTTTTTCTGAGTCAACTCGAAAAGTACACAGCTGGCTGGATGAGCCCTTTCGAACACAAGCATGGCTGATTCTTTTCCAGGCGACTCACCGGCAGCCCGTTCGAAGAGGGCACGCGCAGACCTCCGCAGCCCACCTGTTTCCCACCGACAGCTCCAAACGACTCACCTGCAGCCCGTTTGAAGAGGGCACGCGCAGATCCTTCCCTCCTAGGACGAACAGAGTCGGCACCTTCACCTGCACGAGGGGGAAGAAAGAAGGGAGACGAGGATAAGAGAGCAGAGGAGAGGGATGTGTTTGGGAGACTTGAAGGTTTCAGCGGCATTCTGCAGTCCCTGCCTGCGAGAGATGAACAGAGCTGGTACCTTGCTTCTGAGTCGACTCAGAAGTCACCTCAAGAGTCGACTCAAGAGTCACCTCAAGAGTCGACTCAAGAGTCACCTTGAAGGTTTCAGCAGCATTCTGCACTCCCTCTCTGCCAGGGATGAACAGAGCTGGTACCTTGCTTCGAATAAGAGAAGGCCCCCACAAAGGCTGCCATGCTAGTGTGACTTGTGAAGGGGACAAGACGAGGATAGAGAGGAGAAGTGAAGAGGAGAGGGAGGAGAGAGGAGAGAAGAGGAGAGAGGAGAGAAGAGGAGAGAGTAGAAGCGTACCTTCGATGCATAGGTGATGGGAGAGGCTTTCAGGAAGGTCTGGAGCTCAGCGGCAGTGGGCGAATCAGAGAAGGCGGCCATGCCAGGCTGGCCGAAGGCCTCCACGAAGCACCAATCAGGGATGTCGGTGGTGCCGACCATGCTGGCGAGGTTGGTAACCGGGTTACGGAGCACGGCCGTGCGGAAACGATCGGGCTCCTGGTAAGGGGGATGGATGGGGAAAATGGGGAGTTGAGAGGAGTAAGAGCACCAGACACGGATGCCAGTGATAGGTGGTAGCCACACTAAGTCAGAAACTTTTGAAAGTCCCACAGGGATGCCAGTGACCAGTGACCAGACAGGGATGCCAGTGACCAGACAGGGGATGCCAGTGATAGGTGGTAGCCATACTCACTAGGTAGGTTATGTGTATGAAGAATTATTTTGAGACGTCTCAAAATAGAGCACCAGACAGGGATGCCAGTGATAGGTGGTAAGTTGGTAACCATACTCACTAGGTAGGTTATGCTGCACACGCATCACTCTTGAAAATCCAAAAAGGTGGTAACCATGCTCCTCAGGTTGGTAACCTGGTTTCACTTTGACAGTGATCCGGTTACCAGCTCGACTCACTTCCCTCAACTCCATCCCACCTTCCCACTGTTTTTCACCTGCCCGATAAGGTGCCCGGCAAGGAAGCCACCGTGCGATCCACCAATCACAGCCATGCGGGCAGCGTCCACGTATCCCAGCTCCACCACCCGATCGATTGCCTCCAACACGTCAGCCACGTCCTGATGGGGGAGGGGGAGGGGGAGGGGGACGAGGAGGAGGAATCGTGGAGGTGGTTGGATTTGAAGAGCGGCCAACACCACATGCCCCAGGTCCACCACCTGACTTTTGAGGCGCCTCAGAAGTCGTCTCTGTTTTTGCAGCGCCTCAAAAGGTGTGGAGGTGGTTGGATTGGAAGAGCGGCCAACGCCACATGCCCCAGATCCACCACCTGATCAATTGCCTCCAACGCGTCAGCCACATGCCTGGTTGGAGAAGGGGAGGGGGAAGTGGAGAGAGAGGGGGGGAAGGAGGGGCGGAAGCGTGGCGTGGAGGTGGATAAAGGAGCTCCCAACACCACGTATCCCAGCTCCACCACCTGATCAATTGCCTCCAGCGCACCATGATGGGGGAGGGGGGTTGGGAGTCATTGACTGAGACAGCGAGCCGAGCAGGCCATGTGCAGAGGGGGCGTTTTTTAGAAGGTGTGTTTGAGAGGGTGTGTTTGAGAGGGTGTTATTGAGCTGAGCAGGCCACGTCTCAAAAACACCCTCTCTACACATGATGGGGGAGGAAGACTGGGAGTCATTGACTGAGACAGCGAGCCGAGCAGAGGAGATGCTGGAAGTCATTGATTGGGCACCCAAATGACCAATCACAGCAGTGCATGAAGCATTGAGCAGCCAATTGCAGCAGCGCAAGAAGCAATGAGCAGCCAATCACAGCAATGCTGATAAATCTGCATGCCTCGTACTACCATCCTGCTCACATGCCGTCACATCTGGCTCTCTTGCCAACCAATTCGGTTCACCTGCCGCCCAATTCGGCTCACCTGCCGCCCAATGTGTTTCGGAAGGGACTGCAGCGCCTCCTCTCCAAACCCAAGTGAGCCCCTGCAGACACAAGAGCGCAATGACGAATCACAAGGAAGAGGAGACGACAAGAGAACATCATGATGTCACGGTGTCATGGCTTCATGGCTTCATGGCTTCATGGCTTCATGGCTTCATGGCTTCATGGCATCATGGCTTCATGGTTTCATGGCTTATGGCTTCATGGCTTCATGGCTTCATGGCTTCATGGCTTCATGGCTTCATGGCTTCACAGCTTCATGGCTTCATGGCTTCATGACATCACGTCATGGCTTCCTTGCATCATGGTTGCAGTCTCCTCCCCTCTCCCCTCCCCTCCTCCCTCATGTGAAGCACGGGGTATCCCAAGGCACCAAGGTATGCATAGGGCATTTGAGGCGCCTCAAAAGTCGTCTCATTACCCGCAAGTTTTTTTTGAGGCGCCTCGAAAGACAGCGTATCCCAAGGCACAAAGGTACGCATAGGGCATCCGCGTGTAGTGAGGTGTATTTTGAGGTGCCTAAAAAGGACGGCGTATCCCAAAGCACGAAGGTGCGCATAGGGCATCACGGAATAGGTGGTGTTGACCCTGTGGAAAGGGGGGCGTACCAGCCCCACAGGGAACCCACCCCTTGAACCCACACCCTGCTCACCCGTAGTTCACATGAAGCACGGCATATCCCAGGGCGCACAGGTGCGCATAGCGCTGTGCCTGCCTGTGATAGTCCTTCTTTACAAGCACAGTGACCCATTCCATCACCCACTTTCTCATGTAGTTCACATGCAGCCCGGCATGTCCCAGGGCGCACAGGTACGTGTAGGGCATCACGAAGTTGGTCGTGCTGACACAGTGTGTTGGGGGGGGGGGGTGATTTGACCCATCCCCATAGGGACCCAGCCTTTAGACCCACACCCAACTCACCTGTAGTTAACATGAAGAACAGCGTAGCCCAGGGCGCACAGGTACGCATAGGGCATCACGAAGTTGGTCGTGCTGACGCCGTGGGGGCCCCCATGCGGCACCACCAGCAGCGGGGGCAGCGCAGCAGGAGCAGCTTGGGCAGGTGCTACTTTGCTCCCAGCCGGTGGGGGAGCAGCAGCGGCTTCGGGCTGTCTTCTCACGAAAATGGCTTCAAACGGCTGCTTGGCGCCTAAAGTGGAGTAGGGAAGAGGTGGGGAGGGAAAGGGAGAGGAGGAAGGATTGGGAGGCAGCGGGTGGCAAGAATGTGGCTGTTGGAATGGCAGGATGAATGGTGGCAGCTTGCTCATGCTCATACCCATGCCCATGCTCATGCTCATGCTCATACCCATGCCCATGCTCATGCTCATACCCATGCCCATGCTCATGCTCATGCTCATACCCATGCCCATGCTCATGCATGCTCATGCTCATACCCATGCCCATGCTCATGCTCATGCTCATACCCATGCCCATGCTCATGCTCATACCCATGCCCATGCTCATGCTCATACCCATGCCCATGCCCATGCCCATGCTCATGCCCATGCCCATGCCCATGCCCATGCCCATGCTCATGCCCGTGCTCATGCCCATGCTCATGCTCATGCCCATGCTCATGCTCATGCTCATACCCATGCCCATGCTCATGCTCATCCCCATGCCCATGCTCATGCTCATACCCATGCCCATGCCCATGCTCATGCCCATGCCCATGCCCATGCCCATGCTCATGCCCATGCTCATGCCCATGCTCATGCTCATGCCCATGCTCATGCTCATGCTAATACCCATGCCCATGCTCATGCTCATACCCATGCCCATGCCCATGCCCATGCTCATACCCATGCCCATGCTCATGCTCATGCCCATGCCCATGCCCATGCTCATGCCCATGCCCATCCATGACCATGGCCAGACCCATTCCCATGCGCACGCTCATGTAGACAGCAGCATCTATGCCCCATTCCTGTAAACATTCCCCGCATATGCAGGTGTTTTTTGAGTCGACTCAAAAGTCACCTCATTCCTGTAAATCTTCCCCGCATATGCATCTTCTTTGCAGGACTTCGTAATTCTATGTAAACCACAGAGTAGTGCTTGCATGCTTTCCTCCCCCCCCACTTTCTCACGTGTAAAAGAATAACTCCACGTGAATTTTTTGAAACAACTCCCACGCACCTTCAGTGAGACCCTGAGTCTTGGAGACAGACGGTACAATGGGGATGACCTCAAACTCTGTTGACTTGAGTGCATTCTCCACCTGGGTGGGGGGAGAGGGGCAGGCAGCACAGGCGATTGAGCTGCAAGCACACGTAGCACCGTTTGGTGGGAGAGCGTGAGGGGAAGGTACAATGAAAATGACCTCAAACTCCGTTGACTTGAGTGCGTTTGCCACGTGACAGGGACAGTGCAGGCAGCAGCACAACACATCACACTCTATTTCTCCATTTGCGCTGTCATTCAAATCGCAGATTCAACGGCTACCTAACAACCTACTTTCTCACCACCTGTATCTCCTTGCTTGATCCACGTGTAAAGAGTGGATTCTTTAGACGTCTGAAAAATCCACTCTTTACACGTGGCCATGGTGACTTTTGAGTCGACTCAAAAGTCACCTCGTGGCCATGGTGACTTTACTCAAATGTCACCTCGTGGCCATGGTGACTTTACTCAAATGTCACCTCGTGGCCATGGTGACTTTACTCAAAAGTCAACTCGTGGCCATGGTGACTTTACTCAAATGTCACCTCGTGGCCATGGTGACTTTACTCAAAAGTCACCTCGAGGCCATGGCCAGCAGAAACATGCTCTCGTCTGCAAGCAGTGGCATCGCATCGCATGTGATCTGTTCAACAACATGACCTTGCACAACACACAGTACACAAAACACAGCACGCGACATGCAATTCGATGTCACTGCTTGAACAACACACACTACACATTGTCCCAACAGTCAGCACTCACCGCATCGGCATACTCGACATGCGGAGGGGAGATCTCGGACCACAACCACCCCTCCTGCTTGAGCCACCCTTCCTGCTCGAGCCTAATTATGGGTGCCTCATACTCCATGCACCTCCCAACAGTCAACACTCACCGCATCGGCATACTCGACATGCGGAGGGGAGATCTCGGACCACAACCACCCCTCCTGCTTGAGCCACCCTGCATTCACCCGCCCCAGCATGAGCTTTGTGGGGCACGCTGGGGTGCTGGCGCCTGGCAGCCAGGAAAGACAGAGACAATAACGGGAATGGCAAGAACGAGGAAGAGATGGGGAGAAGATGGTAGTGGTGGTGTGCGGGAACAGCCTCTGCTCGAGCCACCCCGCATTCACCCGCCCCAGCATGAGCTTTGCCGGGCACACTGGCGTGCTTGCGCCTGCAATGGCATATGTGAGTTGGTAACAAGGATGGGACGAGAGTGAGCGGAACATAGGGTGGCAGGGTCAACGAGGGGAAAAACAATCCATTCAAGGTGGGGTGAAGGAAAGACTTGGAGTGGTGGTGAGGGAAGGGGCGAAGGCCCGAAGGGTTAGATATGTGGACGGTCCGTAAGCATGTAATAGACAGATGAAGAGTGTAATCCACCTTTCCCGCCCCCTCCGTCACTCTATCACTTCCTCCCTCCCTCACTCAATCACTCCCTCACTCACACCCCCCCTCCCTCACCCACTCCTTTCCTTGATCACCCGCCACCACCACGCTGTTCAGCACATCTAGCAGCACCCACGAGATGGGCCACGCCCTTATTCACCTTCTTTACCTCCCTCTGTCTGTGTGTTCCATTCACTCACATTCTCACTCCATCACTCATTCCCTCACTCCCTCACTCATTCCCTCACTCAATCCCTCACTCCCTCACTCACCCGCCACCACCACATTGTTCCGCACATCCAGCAGCACCCACGAGATGGGATTCCGCACCTTGACAACCTTCTTTTCGTCCTTCTGTGTGCATGCACCATCCTTCCCCCTCCCCCCTCCCCTACCCCCCTCCCCACCCCCCTCCCTGCCCCCCCCCCAACTCACCCGCCACCACCACATTGTTCCGCACATCCAGCAGCACCCACGAGATGGGGCCCTCAGGGGTCAGCCGGGACACTCGGCCACTGCAGGCGGAGCAGGGATGGGGAGGATAGGGTAAGGTAGGTGCGTGCGTGTTTCTCTGTCTCAGAGAGAGGGGTTAACAACCCATGACACCCGGCCACTGAAAGTCTGTATGCTTGCCCCTATTGCCATTGCCCAGCCACTAGGCACATGCACACACACACACACAACAAACAACACCCACCTCTACATGCACCTCACCTCTCCACGTGCATGGAGATGATAGCCTGGGTGCTCCTCCAAGCCGTGGTGAGCAGCAGCGTGCGCCCATCTTCCAGCCACAAAACCGAGAAATTACAAACACACATACAGCGCCCACAACCACAACCACAAGCAGCCGCACCGCACCTCTCCACATGCACGGAGATGATCGCCTGGGTGCTCCTCCAAGTCGTGGTGAGCAGCAGCGTACGCCCATCAGCCAGCCACGGGTTAGTAGCATACATACGTGCATGTATGTACAGCCACCTCACGTATCCACAGCCCCACCCCTCCCACCTCACCTCTCCACATGAACGGAGATGATAGCCTGGGTGCTCCTCCAACCAAGCTGTAGTGAGCAGCAGCGTGCGCCCATCCGCCAGCCACAGGTTGAATACATGCAGCTACATGCATACAGAAAAGCATCTCAATTGCTACAACCTCACCTCTCCACGCGCACGGAGATGATTACCTGGGTGCTGCGCCACGCTGTGGTGAGCAGCAGCGTGCGCCCATCCGCCAGCCACGGGTTACAAGCATACACACGTGCATGTTTGCATAGCCACCTCACCTCTCCACGCGCACGGCGATGATAGCCTGGGTGCTCCTCCAAGCCGTGGTGAGCAGCAGTGTGCGCCCATCCGCCAGCTACCAGACGCACAGGTAACACACACACATGAACCACCCACATGAACCACCCACAGCCCAAACCACAAGCACGCCTCACCTCTCCACATGCACGGAGATGATCGCTTGTGTGCTCCTCCAAGCCGTGGTGAGCAGCAGCGTGCGCCCATCCGCCAGCCACGGGTTGGCTATCGCTCCAGCAGCGTACAGCCCTGGGAAGCCCCCCTGCTCCTCCGCCCTCGCCACCACACTGATCTGCAGACAGGAACATGAGCACTAAGTTGGAATATACGCTACTTTCATTTTGCGTTTTGCGTTTATACGCTTGTCGAACTCGTACGTTGCGTATAGTTTGAAAATTCGCCGAGTTGAATTTCGGGCAGACCGAAAAAAAAACAAAATTTCAATCTGAAGCTCGCGACGTGGCGATCTCAATTCCGAGTCGCAAATGTCGCGAAATGAACTCAAAATTTGAGTTTCGAGCACCAAACCTCATCAACCCCTCCCCTCAAACGTTTCACACCCCTTTGAACCACAGCATTCCACCATCCCCTCCAAGTGCTACTTTACTGGTTGGGAGCTCAACCCAACCCAATCTCCCAGGCATAAAGAGAGGCGTTTGTTCCCTCAACATTCATTCTCTCGCTTCCTATTCTAGCTATCTCCTTTCCCAAGCCACCATGGCTTCCACTCCTACAGCAACCACTTCTCGTACGCCACCCTCAGAGTCTCCTGGTAGTTCCGCTGGTGGGACCTCTTCTAGTACGTCTTTGGTCTGCATGGACAACAAGCACGCAGTCTACCGTCACTTCAAGGTGCCGGCCAATAGCGTTGGCGAGAACGGCACCAAGGTGTGTGCCTACTGCAACTTCACGTTTGTTGGCGGGGTTCACCGTTGCGCGCAGCATATCACCAGCTGTAACGGCATGCGCTGTCGCGAAGTGCATCTCTGCACTGCAGCGCCGAAGACTGCACGTGACGTCGTGAAGGCGCTTTACGAGTCCAAGTTGAAGGCCCGTGAAGCGAAGCGTGCGGCTGAAATTGCGGCGGTCGGCGCAGTCAACGGCAGAGGTTCGGACAAGAAGAAGAGTCGGATGACCGACTTCTACGGCGACGACGCCGCGTGCGCGAACCAAGCTGCGGACGAGGCCATAAGCCTCTTCTTTGCCGCTCTTCATGTGCCGGAGCATCACGCGGACCACCCACTGTGGCGGAATGTGGTCTCCAGCATCCAGCGCGCGGGGCCGAATTACGTCGCGCCGAAGAGACGCTACATCGGTGGCGCCGATCTTGCAAAGTGTCGCCAGCGCATTGAGGCGGCGCTCGCTCCTATCTCAGCAAGCTGGCGCCGTGACGGTGTCACCGTAGCAAGCGACATGTTCTCCGACAAGGCCGGCCGCCCGCAAGCCAACGTGCTCCTCATCAACGATAGCGGTGCGGTGTTTGTGGAGTCGATCGACACGAAGATGGAGATGAAGACCGGGGGCTACATCGCGGGCATCTTGCGGCCCATCATCGAAAAGGTCGGCCCCGAGAATGTCGTCGCCTTGTGTTTTGACGGCGGCTCCAACTACGCGGCGGCATGCAGGGTGTTGATGCGCGAGTATCCCCACATTGAACACATCCCTTGCGCGACCCATGTCCTCGATCTCCTGATGGAGGACATCGGGAAAAAGGGATGGGCGAAGGACATCGTCACGCGCGGGGACACCCTCATCTCGTTCATCCGCAACCATCACTTCACCCGGGGATACATGCGGAGTCCGCTCGTGAACGGCGGCAAGGGGAAACAGGTTCTCAAGCCCGCGGGAACCCGATTCGGCACCAACTACATCGCCATCAACCGCCTCTGTGAAGTGCGCGCCGGCCTGACGCAGATGGTCCTTAGCGATGAGTGGGTCGAGTGGACTGCGGCTGCAGACAGGGCTGGGGCAGACACATTCAAAGACAACATCCTCGATGCCGCGTGGTGGACGCGCGCCGAGTTCTTCGCTAAGCTGATGAGGCTGCCATTCGTCGTCATGCGCAAGACTGACTCGGATTCGAAGGGCATGATGGGTCGTCTCTACGACCTCATGCTCCAGCTCACCGAGGACATCCGCGACTTCCTCGACGAGCATGCGGAAGGGGTCCTGACAAGCGACGAGGTGGGGGATATTCGGGAGATTGTGCAGGACCGCTGGGACAACGGGCTGGCGTGCAACCTGCACGTGATTGGCCGCATCCTCTACCCCACCAACCAGGAAGAGTGCATTTTCCGCACCGACCTGGAGTGCACGAGGGTCTTCAAGCAGTACGTCTCCAAGCACCATGGTGACAAGACGGTCACCAGGAAGGACGGGGTCGAGCGCCGCGCCTCTCTCGTCATCCAGGAAGGCCTCAATGCCTTCCTGAACCTCCAAGGCAGCTTCGGCATGCCCGACGCTATTGCCGACCGCCAGGCAGTGAAGGAGGGCAAGATGACGGCGGTGGACTGGTGGACATGGCACGGGACCGATCATCCTGAGCTCACCACCATGGCTTGCCGCGCCATCACGCAGCCGGTGTCCGCGTCTCCATGTGAGCGTAACTGGGCGAAGTTTGATGCAGTGCATACGGCAAGGAGGAACCGCCTCGGCGCGGTGAAGCTTCGTGACCTGGTGTATGTGACGCACAATTGGCAGGTGGTGCACAACTGGCACAAGGCCCCTGAAGGGCTGGGGGTGGTGAAGGGAAACATCGAGGACCCCCCCACTCCGGCCGGCTATAACGTCCCGGAGGAGGTGGAGGAACCTGAGGAGGGGGAGGATGATGTGATGGCAGATGAGTACTAGTGGATGGAAGACTCCATGCATGAGCGGCAGGCGGGGGATGGAGGGTGGACCTGAGTAGAGTAGGGGATGGGGGGGTAGTAGCATGATTAAGGTGGGTGAAGTTGTAGCGGCAGATTAGTTTTAAGGGTTTTTTTTTCCTGTAACTTTCATATTAATACAAAGGGGATGGGGGTTACAACACCCCCCCATCCCCACCTCTTACCCCAAAAATCTGCCTGGGGAAAACTTTTTTCCTGCCCGAGCAAGCGGATTCTTGTGCGTACTAGACCCCTCAGGGACTGCGGTTTGCGTATATACTCTAGCGTTTATACAGCAAGCGTACAAAACGCTAAACGCGTATATTCCAACTTAGCATGAGCACGGGGCAACAGGCATGGATTGCCAGGGACGCATGGGGATTCAATAAGGTGCCCATCCGCCAGGCCAGCCACGAGTTGGCGATGGCTCCAGCAGCATACAGGCCTGGGAACCCCCCCTGCTCCTCCGCCCTCGCCACCACACTGATCTGCACCCAGGTACAGTCAAGGTTTAAGGTTTAGAATTGAAGGTTCAGAGTAGGGGTGTCAATGCAAGGGTGAAAAGGTAACTTTCGAGACGCATGAAAAACCCTTGCCACCGCACTGATCTGCACCCACTAACACAGGGGTAACGGGCTGGCATCTTATTACGACAAGCAGGAGTTTGATAAGCCTCAATGCCTCATTGTTGCATCCAAGCCTTGGGCCAGAGAAGGGAGTGCAGCGAGTTGGTAGCACCTCATTGTAACAACCAGCAGCCTGACAGCAGAATGAGCAGCCTGTCAGCGGACACTCACTATGCTGTTGATGAGGATGTCTATAGCGGGGACGTCGGAAGGCCCCGAGCGAGTATCCTCCTCAGGATCGCAAGAGGGGCGCCCCATTTACCAAGCAGCCTGACGCGTGTGATGAGAGAAGGAGATTCCCTCGGGCTAGAGCAGGGAGTGCAGCGAGTTGGCAACACCTAGACTTGGACAGCACCTCACCATACCAATCAGCAGCCTGCCAGCGGAATGAACAGCCTGAAAGCGGACACTCACTCTGCTGTTAATAGGGATGTCTATAGCGGGGACATTGGAAAGCCCCGAGCGAGACTCCTCCTCAGGGTCGGCAGGGGGGGCGTGGGGGAAGGAGATGCCCTCCTTGGAGCAGAGCAGCGAGTGCAGCGAGTTGGGAACACCCCATTTACCAAGCAACCCGACAGCGAACACTCACTATACTGCCCTCCTCAGAACAGATGAGGGGCGTGAGGGAAGGGAAGCTTTCCTTGGACCACAGCAGCGAGTTGGCAGGCAGCACCTCAGCACGTCACCATACCAAACAGCACCTGCAAGCGGACACTCACTATGCTGTTGATGGGGATGTCTATAGCGGGGACGTCAGACGGCCCAGATCGGGTGTCTTCTTCAGGGTCGGCAGGAGGGGCGTGGGGGAAGGAGATGCCCTCCTTGGGCCAGAGCAGCGAGTGCAGCGAGTTGGTGGCGCCGTGAGTGCCGCTGTCCACTGCTGCGTGCGAGGAGAGGAAGACCAGCAGAGAGCCGTCAGGGCTGAAGGGAGGGAAGGGACGGGAGACAGGAGGACGTAGAAGGTGTGGTTGGGTGGAAAACACAGGGTTGGTGGGGATGTGAGTGCCGCTGCGCATTGCTGCATGCGATGAGAGGAAGACCAGCAGAGAGCCGTCAGGGCTGAAAGAGGAGAAGAGAGGGAGGAGACGCGAGCACAGAGCAAGGGGTGGATGGGGGGAAGGAGAGGAAGACAGAGTTGGTGGCGCCGTGTGTGCTGCTGACCACTGCTGCATGCAATGAGAGGAAGACCAGTAGAGAGCCGTCAGGGCTGAAGGAAGAGATTGGGGCAAACAGGGAGCAGGTAGCATTGCAGGGATGGGCGGGGGATAGATAAGGTTGGTTGTGGCTTTGCACTGCTGCGTGCGATGAGAGGAACATCAGCAGAGAGCCGTCAGGGCTGAGGAGATGGGGGTGGGCCAGGCAGGGAGAAGATTGCATTGCAGGGATGGACGGGGGATAGATAGGGTTGGTTGTGGCTATGCACTGCTGCGTGCGATGAGAGGAACATCGGCAGGCAGCGGTTGTGGCTGAAGGGGTGAGGGTGAAGGACAAGGGACGAAGAAAGTGTGAACTTGGCAAGGGGTGGGCGGGCGAACAGAAAGGAAAGTAGAGCTGCTGGTTGCGTGTGTGCTGGTGCAAACTTGCAGGCATCACACAAACGGGAAAGCAAACAGGTGCCTGTTTGCTCCTGCGTGTTGTTGCTGGTTCAAATTTGCAGGCCTCACACAAACGGGAGAGGAAACGAGGAAATCAACAGCAAACAGCTGAGAAGGGACTATGGTTGCTGTCAGCAGCATAATTAGACGCCTTTGAACGAGGAAATCTATGAGAGGGTACCTGAAGCGGGGTGAGAAGGCGCTGCTGATTCCGGCAGTGAGCTTCACAATGCTGCTGCCACTGCCTGGCTTCTTCCTGTAAGGGCAGGTAGAGACAGACAGACGGCCAAAAAAGAAGAGCCAAGTGGAAACTCGGCACAAAGCAAGCTATGATGCAACGACTGCTGATGGCAGCAGCAAACAGGTGGCAGGGGCGGTTGGCGCAGCACACAATCCCAAGGCGGCACGCCGTGTTGAAGTTGGAGGGGAAGGAAGGGCAGTAGCGGTGCATGCAACCCAACCCAAGCCAATCCAACCCAACCCATACAGAACAGAAGCACAGTGCATATGACCCAACCCAATCCAATCCAACCCAACCCAACCCAACCATACAGAACAGAAGCCTTCACTCACCCGGCAGGGTCTTGGGAGGGCGCTTGGGCGGCAAACAGGTGGCAGGGGCGGTTGGCACAATAGACAATGCCAAGGCAGCGGGCCGTGTTGAAGTTGGAAGCAAAGGAAGGGCAGGGGCAGTGCATATGACCCAACCCAACCCATACAAACAGAAGCATTCACTCACCCAGCAGGGTCTTGGGAGGGCGCTTGAGCAGCAAACAGGTGGCAGGGGCGGTTGGCGCAATAGACAATGCCAAGGCGGCGGGCCGTGTTGAAGTTGGAAGGGAAGGCGGACCAGCCAACAAAGAGCAGCGTGTGCTGCTGCCCCTCCACTGCTGGCGCCCACACCACCTGCCCCGCACTGATGTCCCCTGGGATGCCCTCCACTGCCTGCACTGTACCACTGCAGGGGGAGAGAGCGGCACAGAGCGGTACAGAGCAGTAAGAAAAGGTGAGAGACAGTGAGAGGAGAAGCAGGACCAGCCGACGAAGAACAGCGTGTGCTGCTGCCCCTCCACTGTCGGCGCCCACACCACCTGCCCCGCACTGATGTCCCCCGGAATGCCCTCTACCGCCTGCAGTGTGCCACTGGGAGAGACAGAGAGAGGGATACAGAGCGGTGCAAAGCGGTACAGAGTGGTACAGCGTGGTGACAGATGGTGAGAGACGGTGAGAGACGGTGAGAGGGAAGGCGGACCAGCCCACGAAGAGCAGCTTCGAGATCCAACCGCTCGCGTTTACCACGACACCCCCTTTACGCACGTGACAGTGTTGAGAAATAACACCAGAGGCCACCGCTTCCCCACGTGTCTCTCTCCCCACTCCTTCATCCTCTCCCCCTTCCTCTTCTTGAAACGCCTAATAAGTCACCGCTTTACGCACTTGACTTGACACTGCACATACACTACACCCCGTAACACACCTGACAGTGTTGAGAACAAACAGCAGAGGCCGCTGCTTCCCTGCATATCTCTCACCCCAGTCCTCCATCCACTCCCCCTTGCCCTCTTGAACCGCCTATAAGAAAACACCACCTTAACGCACCTGACAGTGTTGAGAACAAACAGCAGAGGCCGAGGCTTCCCCGCGTATCTCTCACCCCAGTCCTCCATCCACTCCCCCTTGCCCTTCCACGTCCCTGCCTCCGCTGCCCCGTTCTTCCCCTTCCCCGCACCTCCCACCGGAGCTGGCGCCGCTGCAGCTGCAGCTCCGAACCTGCCCCGAGCCGGGCCGGCAGGTGCGGCAGGGGGGTGCTGGGCGGCTGACGTGGCAGCAGGCTGCCGAGGCTGGCCGAAGACAGGCTTGGGTGGGGCAGGCTCTTCTGCCACGTAGGCAACACAGGTTTCGTCCTCATTCCATGACACACCCTCAAACCTGAGACAGGGGAGATAGAGAGAGAGAAGGGAGAGGGAGTCACGGAGCAGCAGTGGAGGGAGGAAGGAGGGCAGTGGAATGTTGGTCTAGATGAAGCAGCAGTGAAGGCAGGCTCTTTTGCCACGTAGGCAACACAGGTTTCGTCCTCGTTCCAAGACACACCCTCAAACCTGAGAACGAAGGAGCAGCAGGAGAGGGAAGATGGGGGAATGGTGAAACTTTGACTTCATTGCTACAAATCATATAATTTCAGAATGGGAAGGGGCTGATAGGAGTTCATAAAGACATGGCCACCTTTGTATAATTCTAAAAAGAACCTATTAAAACCTAACCCAAAATATATATATATATATGTATATATTATATATATATATATATATCCAGCACATCCATACCACTCACCATCTATCGGCGTACACCCCCCCATGAACAGTAGCCGGCACATGCACCTCCCTCAGCAGCCGCCCCGCGCCCCACACCTCCAAAGCCAAATGTATACATATGTATACTGTAACAAGTCGCTGACTGACAGGTGTTTTTGAGAATTCTCAAAAACACCCTATACATATGTATACTGTAACAAGTCGCTGACTGACAGAAACCACTGAAGCATAGGCAGCAAAAGGCCCCACCCATCCTCATTCCCCCACCCATGCGAACCATATACCATCTCATCCACACCACAAACTCACCATCCATCGGCATACACCCCCCCATGAACAGTAGCCGGCACATGCACCTCCCTCAGAAGCCGCCCCGCGCCCCACACCTCGAGCTTCACCGCTCCGGCCTCCTTCCCCCCCACGCCCGGCTCCCCATTGCGCACCACCAGCAGCCTTCCCCCCGAGGGGGAGGGGGCAATGAGGGTGACACCGGTGAGCTCGGTGGGGAAGGGCGACCAGTGGAAGGAGGAGAGGTCGCCTTGGGGGTCGGGCACGTGCACGGTGGAGAGGTATTTGCGCATGGCGTTCGCTGGCAGGTTCTTCTGACTCATCTGCACCGTCACGTCTAGACTCGCCTTGCCTGCGTTGGTGGGAGAGGTACGACAGGGAAAAGGACCAGGAGCAGGGGCAGGGGGAGGGGGAGGGATGAGGAGAGAGTGGAGCGCAGGGTGGAGAGCAGGGTGGGGTGGGATTGGAAACGGTTGAGAGGTATTTGCGCATGGCGTTGGCTGGCAGGTTCTTCTGACTCATCTGCACCGTCACGTCTAGACTCGCCTTGCCTGCGTTGGTGGGAGAGGTACGACAGGGAAAAGGACCAGGAGCAGGGGCAGGGGGAGGGGGAGGGATGAGGAGAGAGTGGAGCGCAGGGTGGAGAGCAGGGTGGGGTGGGATTGGAAACGGTTGAGAGGTATTTGCGCATGGCGTTGGCTGGCAGGTTCTTCTGACTCATCTGCACCGTCGCTTCCAACCTTGCCTTGTCTGAGATGATGAGAGAGAAACGACACGGAAAGCGACCAGTAACAGGGGCAGCGGGAGGGAGAGGGACGAGGAGAGGGTGGAAGCAGGGTGGGGTAGGGTTGGAAACGGTTGAGTGGTGTTTGTGCATGGCATTCTTCTGACTCATCTGCACCGTTACGTCTGGACCGGCTTTGCCCTGTGGGATTGATTTGTCCAGACTACAAGATTGAACGTGTGAGAAGCACTGAGCACAGGACGCACGTGTTGACTTTTGAGTCGACTCAAAAGTCAACTAGTCTACAAGACTGAACGTGTGAGAAGCACTGAGCACAGGACGCACGTGTTGACTTTTGAGTCGACTCAAAAGTCAACTAGTCTACAAGACTGAACGTGTGAGAAGCACTGAGCACAGGACGCACGTGTTGACTTTTGAGTCGACTCAACAGTCAACTAGTCTACAAGACTGAACGTGTGAGAAGCACTGAGCACAGGACGCACGTGTTGACTTTTGAGTCGACTCAACAGTCAACTAGTCTACAAGACTGAACGTGTGAGAAGCACTGAGCACAGGACGCACGTGTTGACTTTTGAGTCGACTCAAAAGTCAACTAGTCTACAAGACTGAACGTGTGAGAAGCACTGAGCACAGGACGCACGTGTTGACTTTTGAGTCGACTCAAAAGTCAACTAGTCTACAAGACTGAACGTGTGAGAAGCACTGAGCACAGGACGCAGGTGCGCGGAACGGGAAGGGAAATGACTAGGCGAGAGATAGGGAACCCAGAGGGGCATGAGAGAGTGGGAGAGGGAGGGAGTGGGAGGGGGAGAAAGGGGGGGAGAGGGAGAGGGAGAGGGAGTGGGAGGGGGAGAAAGGTTGGAGAGAGAGGAGAGGGAGAGGGAGAGGGAGAGCGAGAGGGAGACGGACGGGGAGAGGGAGAAGGAGAGGGAGAGGCAGAAGGAGGGGGAGAGGTAAAAGAGGGTATTGGCGCACCTGGAGCACCCTTGCCCTTGGGTCCTGCATTTTGGCCTGCAGTGCCGCATGCGTTGAATCAATGTGACCATGCAGGGGAGACAATGGGAGGGAGAGAGGCAGGATGAGCAAGGTGAGGGGAAAGTGGGGGGCGAAAGCGCGGTTGCCCTTGGGTCCTGCATTTTGGCCTGCAGTGCCGCATGCATTGAATCAATGTGACCATGCAGGGGAGACAACGGGAGGGAGAGAGGCAGGATGAGCAAGGGTGAGGGGAAAGTGGGGGAGCGAAAGCGCCCTTGCCCTTGGGTTTTGCAGTTTGGCCTGCCGTGCCGCATGCGACGCATCAATGTGACCATGCAGGGGAGACAATGGGAGGGAGAGAGGCAAGAAAGTGGGGGGGCGACAGCGGCCTTGCCCTTGAGTCCTGCAGTCTAGCCTGCCGTGCCGCATGCGTTGAATTATTGCGGGCATGCAGGGGAGATATGTGGGGGCTGGGGGTGGGAAGAGCAGGGAGGCACAGATGCACGAAGGGAGGGGTACGGGGAAAGAGAGGGAGCGCAGGCGTCGATGCACTAGAGTCCTGCAGCTGGCCTGTAGTGCCGCCCCTCTTCCCAACCCCTTTTCAACCCATCTCAACCCATTTGCACAAGCACCCACCGACGGGCGAGACGCGGCACCAGGCCATGGCAATGCTGGTGATGAGCGAGAACGACTCGAAAAGCTCCTCCTCCATTTCCCACCCCTCTTGCTCCCAACCCCCTTTCTCAACCCTTATGGGCCCATCTCAACCCATCTCAGCCCATTTCCACCCACCGACGGGCGACACTCGGCACCAGGCCTTGTCGATGCTGGCGATGAGCGAGAACGACTCGAGCAACTCCTCCTCCTCCTATTCCACCTCTCTTGCTCCCAACCCCCTTTCTCAACCCGTCTCAACAATATGGACCCCATTCAACCCATCTCAACCCATCTCAGCCCATCTCCACCCACCGACGGGCGACACGCGGCACCAGGCCTTGTCAATGCTGGCGATGAGCGAAAACGACTCGAGCAACTCCTCCTCCTCCACCGTCGCCGCGCGGTCGATCAGACCGCCGCCCTCCGCGCCTGTCGCCATGGCCCGTGCGACCGTTGACGACGATTCGAGTCGCGAGCTGAGCCGAGTCGGCGCGGATGCGACAGGCACGCCGCAGCTGAAGCCAAACAGGGAAAACAAGGGGCACGTTTCGTGTCAGCGCGACAGCGGCAAGGAACGGTTAAGAAATCGAGTAAACGGCTGAGAGCAATGATTCAGCAGGGTAACAGATACCAGACCAGATTTCTGATAAGAGACCAGATGGCTAGAGCTCTGACAAGCGACACAGTTGGTATCCAGAGCTCTGACGAGCGACACAGTTGGTATCCAGAGCTCTGGTCCGGAGACTGGGTGCATGAGGAGGTCTCCACACCAGGCATTGGTCTCATACAAGCGGCGCAGTGATGTACTCGGTAGGCACAATCGATGCGAACTTTTGAGAATTCTCAGAAATAATGACACAATCGATGCGAACTTCTATAGACGTACTCTCCAGTATAATATTAAACAAAGCCAACCTCGGGGGTGTCTGGAAACTGACAAACTCTGAAATGATCACCCTCCAGATATTCACTATGGTAACCACTGGAGGACCTGTCATGTTCGCACGCTTGCACCAGGAGATCCTGTTGCAAGGGTGCGAGAATTTGTTCATCGTAGTCTTTTGTAGCGGTGACACTCCGCAATGTTCGCAGTTTTGCACCCTTGCATCTGGATACATTCGGACATTCTGAAATCGCATTCGGATATATAATTCCAAATCTAATGCGACGGTTGAGACTTCGCAGCTGGAAATCGTGACCAAGCACGAACGTAAGCGCCAGCAGTACGGCTGGATAATCTAACAGTGTCGGGCCGTTACAATGTCCATTGACGGGACAAGATCATCAGCCGGTAAATAAACCGCCTGAATACCAGTATCGGACATGCACCGTCAGGAATTGACGGCAAAAAGGGACTTAAGATTATCACGCGCTCCTGGGAACACCACAGCAGGACGGGCGAACACCTAAGTAAGCTTACTACTGAGTATCCGGTGAATCAACGGCTGAAAGGGCGAAACGATCAAATGTTCACTCACATACGAAACGATCCGGCTGAGAGCAAACGGTGACAGCCAAGCCCTGTCTCTCGCCTCGCAACGGTCAAACTCCCAGAGCGACTTCTCAGAAGCGCTACGCGTCTACTATCTACTCCTGTTCTCAAAGCAGATCGCAAGCGATCTGTGGGGAGGGTACGTGAAACCACGCGCAAACGAGCAGAAACCGCAACGTGCATAAGTGCCGCTTCGTATGATCAAGAGTGAAGACGGAACACCGAAGAAAGCTTTAGCGACCCCCACTTATGGCGGAAATCAAGGCTTTGAATGTAGGGCCTGAATTTTAGCAGGCTCAAGCCGTTGGATCTAGCTGTTGGGGGTGATGATGGCTCTAGAATCTAGATCCAATAAATGGCCAGGATTTGCTGAGGAAGGTGGAGGTGGTAGAGGTCCTCCTCGGTATTGACGAAGTGATCAAATCGAGAAAGAAAGGGAGCATGGCTGGAACCCGCTTGAAAGCCATTCGTTTTAGGATACCGTCTGCACACAGCTTTGAATGCGCTTTGTGTGACTCGTAAAATACAGGACTTAAATGCTTCGCAGGAGTCTGTGTTCGCGAACAGCGAACAAGGACGAATTACGATGACTTACACAGATATCCAACATATCTGCCCCGTCGCCCCACATCTGACATTTCAGACCAGCGCTGTCCAGCTGACACAAGGTTCCTCCTGACAAGCTGTCAGATCAACCAATCCTAGAACACCTGCTTTCCTTGGTCGGAGGGGCAGATTCGACACGTCAGTCGATCGCCTTAAATAAGAGCCTTTGTAACCAGCCAGCTAGTTCGTCGAATCACAAAGCAGTCCAGCATCCCTGCAAAACCCGGTTTCTCATAGCCGTCGTGATTGTGTCGGTGTCCGCTCTCCATGCCAGGTCATCAGGTGTGCCAGAGATTTCGCCAGGGAAAATAGCACTGCGCTGCCGTCGAGATTGCCACCAAGATTTTCCCGCGTCACGCCGCACATTCCCTTGACATTGCCATTTGCCACTTCGCGCGGCTCTCAACAGGCCATCATACAGTATCACCATTCATCACACCAAGCCCGCGTACGTTTACAGTTCATCCTGTACGGTTGAACTTGTTGTGTCACGGTTAAAAACGGTTGAAACTGCAAATCGCTTTGAACCGTTTGATATCGTTTTGCGCCATGGGTCATGAACTGTAACGAGCCGTAAACGTACGCGCTGGACACGCCCTAACCAGCCTCCATCCCGTACCTCCCTTTGCCTCCAGGCCTCTCGTATCCAAACCCAACCTTTCGTCCCTTCCTGTCCTGTCCCTCGTCATTTGTCCCTCCCCTTCCCTTCAAGCCGCATGATTATTCGAGTATTTGAGATTTGCATTCTGAGTCTGACACCTCTCTCCCCTTCCTCGCAGTCGCCAACAATCCCGCCATTTTGCCCCGCCATGCTCCATCCGTCAACCTCTAGGCTCCACCACACCACCAGACGCCTAGGCAGTTTCCGTGGTCCCACGGCCTTAGACGCTCAGCTTTCGTCACGGCATTTTCCAGAACAGTCAGCTTGAAACAGAACCGTCTCCTGATTCCTGAGTGGCCATGCCGAGCTCGTGACACCATCGCGGCCTTAGGTTGTGACGCCACCTGTCAAGAGCTGCGATGAGAATCAACTGTGCAACGCCTAGAACGAGTTTAGACCCTGCCTGTCTGTCTGTTTCTGTTGAACCGTCATCACCACAAACAGTTCGCCGTACACAGTGACCATTCGAGCCTGCCTTAGGCAACCTCAGCCCTAATGAAGGGATAGCTGCATAGCTTCGATCTGAGAACTAAGCGAGGGGAAGCGGGCTTGGGCGACGGAACGACGTATGTACACGCGCTTCCTACTCGTGCTCACGTATACTCCCTCCTCTTGCGCGATAGGAGCCGTTGTAGGTTCTTCACTTACGCAAGTTTCTCGCCTAGGTTTCTCGTCGTCGTAGCAGTCTCGCCGTCGGTGTGCCTCCTCAGCGCACAGCAGACGCACGGACCAGTCGTGTTTTGAGTCGACTCAGAACCTGTCTCGCCGTCAGTGTGCCTCCTTAGCGCACAGCAGGCGCACGGACCAGTCACCTTACACCCTCGTACCGCAAACATTCACGATCTCCACTTATTTATCCTTTTTTTTTTTCTTAAAGATCAAGTGCGTGTGCCGGCACGTTATCACCAATAGCGTTGACGGAATCCGTCAAAATGAACGAACCCTGGCTGGAACCGTCGCCAGGTGGCGCGTTCACAGACACGCCTTGCCCAGACGATCTCATCCCACAAATGGGCGGTTTAGGTGCAATGGATTCAAATCTGAATCCGATCCAGCATGCATCCCTTACACACTCCGCCGGCGTGTTCCGCGTCCTTCAACAGTCCACTCATGAAACCGAAACTCCGCAAAGATCTGCCCGCGCGCTTCAGGATTTGACGACCTCCGCAACCCCCGACTCCGCCGCAACCGCGCTGTCCGCTCCGCCTCCCACGCCTCTCCCCCCGCCGCCCCTTCGCATGGTCACTCTGCTCCAAGGTGCCCCCCCGCAATCAGCGCCGAAGCTGGGCGTTCTCCAGGGCTCCGTCGCTCCCGCGGCGGCCCCCGACGCGCCGCTCATCGATGCGCCTCCCCCGCAACCGCCCAACGCGCCTCCCCCTATCGCAGCGCAACCGCCGCCAGATATGGTGCCGAAACCGCCGTCTTTCAAGGGCAGACCGCCGCCGGTGAAGGCGCCGAAGCACGGCAAGCCGCCATCTCCAGTACTGCAAGTTCCCCCTAATGCGCCGCCGCCGCTTCCGCCCGTCATAGATGCGCCTCCCCCTGTTCTCCCCGATCCCCCCCCGCCAATGATTGATATCCAACCTGCGCCCCCTCCGGAGATCCTCTTCCCCCCTCCTGTGCTTCCGCCGCCAAGGCCCCCGAAGCCGCTGGCGCGGCCGCCGCCAAAGCCGCCAACCCTGCCTCCGCCAGTCCCCTCACCTCCGCCCAAAAAACCTCCGCCCAAAAAACCTCCGCCCCCCCCTGTAATCATTAAACGACCTCCGAAACCCCTTATAGCGAGACCTCCGCCCCCTGCTGAGCCTCCCGCCGCACCTCCCGTTCTGCCTCCCGCGGAACCACCCGTTGAACCCCCCGTGGAACCCCCCGCGGAACCACCCGCGCCCCCCCCCGCAGAGCCCCCAGCTCTTCCGCCTGCTGCTCCCCCAATCGATCCCCCCGCGCCTGCGCCTGCGCCAGTCGTTGATCCTCCGCCTAAGCCTGCGCCCGCGCCTTCCCCAATCGCTTCTCCCCCGCCGCCCCCGAAAGCACCAGCGCTCGTGCGCCCGCCAAGGCCAAAGCTGCGTAACCCGCCGCCGCCGCGGGCGCCGCCTCCGCGCGGGGAAGCTCCCGCCCCCACGCCTACGTTCATCCCAACCCCGCCGCCGCTCTCCCCTCCTTACAACAATATGCCGTCTCCGCCAGTCAATTACATGTCGCCGCCGCCGCCGCAAGCGACGGCGCCCGCGCCGGCGCCGGAAGCGGGAGTGAGCGCAGCGGTAGTGGCGGGCGCGGTGGCCGGGGGAGCGCTACTGCTGGTGACGCTGGTGGTGGGGCTGCTGTGCTTTTTCTATTTCGTTGTTAATCGACGCGATGATGAGGAAGAAGAGAGATACCCGCGCGGCAGCACGTCCGACTTCTACGCGCTGAAAGGTGAGCTCAGGTCGTGTGCGGTGGTGTGTGGTGGGTGCGTGGTGGTGTGCGGTGAAGTGAGGTGCTGTGCGGTGTGGCTGTGGACCGTGAGCTCTGTAACAGTGGTGGTAGTTGGGTTCCTGTGTTCTGTGGTAGTATGGTGTATTTTGCAATGGTTCACGTTGTACCGTTTATGGCGTGCCACAGCTACTATCCCCTCACCCTCGTTCTCCTCTTCCATTCTACTTCTCCCCTTCCCCTCTTTTTTCCCTTCCCCTCTTTTTTCCCTTCCCCCTCCTCTCACCCTCCCCCTCCTCTCACCCCCATCCTGTGGCTATCCCCCTCTTCTCGACCCCCCCTCCTCTCATTCTCCCTCTTCTCTCCTCCTCCTCTTATCCTCCCCTCTTCGTCGCCCACCACCACCAACCAGGCAACGGCATGTATACAGAGAGCTTATACACAGGCAACGGCATGTATACAGAGAGCTTATACACAGGCAACGGCATGTATACAGAGAGCTTATACACAGGCAACGGCATGTATACAGAGAGCTTATACACAGGCAACGGCATGTATACAGAGAGCTTATACACAGGCAACGGCATGTATACAGAGAGCTTATACACAGGCAACGGCATGTATACAGAGAGCTTATACACAGGCAACGGCATGTATACAGAGAGCTTATACACAGCCGCATCAGGCCAGGGAGGGTCGGATGACATTTGATCTAACTCCCTCCATCACCCTCAATAGGCTTTCCCCACCAACACTCCCTCCTCTCCTCACCGCTCCCCACACCTGGCAACGGCATGTACGGAGAGAGCTTCTACACCACGGCATCAGGGCAGGGAGGGTCGGAGCATATGACTTAAGGGTGATTTCAAATGACGTATTTCACCAACACCCCCCGCTTCTCCACAACCCTTCCCTCTCCCCCGTCAGGCAATGGCATGTACGGAGAGAGGAGAGCTTCTACACCACAGCATCAGCCCAGGGAGGGTCGGATAGCTCTGGAGTCCTCGCTTCTCCACAACGCCCTCGCTTCTCCACAACCCCCCCCCCCTCTCCCTCCCCCCACCAATCAGGCAATGGCATGTACGGAGAGAGCTTCCACCACCACGCCACGGCGTCAGGCCAGGGAGGGTCGGGTTTCTTTTGAGTCAGCTACACCATCACGCTCAACAGACTTCAGAGTGAAGTCAAATTACTTATTTCACCAACACCCTCGTTTCTCCACAACCCCCCCCCCCCCCCCCTCTCTCCCCCCTCTCCCCCTTCAGGCAATGGCTTGTACGGAGAGAGCTTCTATACCACAGCATCAGGGCAGGGAGGGTCGGATAGCTTTGGAGTCTACTCCTTCCTTTATTCAAGAGACTTTCTCTTTCCCCACCAACACTCCCTCCTCTCCTCACCGCTCCCCACATCAGGCAATGGCATGTACGGAGAGAGCTTCTATACCACAGCATCAGGCCAGGGAGGGTCGGGTTACCCTATGTTACCACCGCCCAACCCATACGCGGTG